GGAAATTCCCTGGCAGTCCGGTGGTTAGGACTCCGCGCTTTCACTGCCAAGAGCCTGGGTTCAATACCTGGTCAAGGAACTAAGATCCTGCAAGCTGCGCGGCACGTCCAAAAAAAGGAGAGAGAGAATGTTATGAACAACTTCGTGTCAACAAATTCCACAACTTAGATGAAATGGACAAATTCCTTGAAAGATCCAAAATACAAACACTCTCTCAAGAAGTAATAGCTAACCTGAAAAGCCCTACATTTATTAAAGAAATTGGAATTGTAGTTGAAAACCTTCCCACAAAGAAAACCTTAGGCTTGTGTGCCTTCACTGAGGAATTCTATCAAATATTTAAGGAAGAAATAATATCAATTTTACACAAACTGTTCCCAAAAAATTTAAGAGAAGGGAATACGTCTCACCGCAGCTCATTCTATGAGACCAGCATTACCCTGACACCAAAACCAGGCAAAGATATTACAAGAAGAGAAAAACATACTGAGATATCACTACCCAAGAGAAAAGGAAATATCTCTTCATGCAAAAACTTGTACATGATATTCATAGCAGTTTTATGTGTAATAGCTAAGCACTGGAAACAACACAAATGTCGGGCTTCCCTGGTGGCGCAGTGCTTGAGAGTCCGCCTGCCGATGCAGGAGATGCGGGTTCGTGCCCCGTTTCGGGAAGATCCCACATGCCGCGGAGCGGCTGGGCCCGTGAGCCATGGCCACTGAGCCTGCGCGTCCGGAGCCTGTGCTCCGCAAATGGGAGAGGCCACAACAGTGAGAGGCCCGCATAACGCAAGAAAAAAAAAAAAAAAAAAAAAAAAAAAACACAAATGTCCACCAACAGGTGAGTGAATTGTGGTACATCCATCCAGTAGAATGCTACTTGGCAATTAAAAGGGACTATTGATACATGCATCACTGTGGGAGTCTCAATTATGCTAAGTGAGAGAGGTCATATAAAAAAGAGTACACCCTGTATGATTCCATATATCTAAAAATAGAAAATGCACACTAATCTATAGAGACAGAAAGCAGGTCAATTGTTGCTTGGGGAAGGAGGGGAAAGGGATGGTGGGAGGGAGACATTGCCAAGGAGCACAAGGAGACTTTTGGGTGTGACAGATACATTTACTTCATGGATTTATACACAAGTCAGAATGCACCATGTAGCACAATTTCAACTTGTAACACTTGGGATGTCCACTTAATTGGGTTGGGTTTTTTTTTAATGTTTTTTATTTATTTATTTATTTTTTTGCTGTACTGTATGGCATGTGGAACTTCCCCAACCAGGGATCAAACCCAAGTTGCTGCAGTGGAAGCACCGAGTCTTAACCACTGGACCACCAGGGAAGTGTACTTAATTGTATTTTAGTTGTATGACAATGAAGAATTGTTTTTTAAATAAGGTATTGTTATCATTATTGTTGTTGTTATTATTATTTGGCAGCGCCACGCAGCTTGCAGGATCTCAGTTCCTGGACCAGGGATTGAACCTGGGCCCCGGCAGTGCAAGTGCTGAATCCTAACCATAGACCACCAGGGAACTCCCGGTATTATTTTTAAAAAATAAAATTAAAGTATACAGCTGGGAAAGGAAATACTGCTTTCCATTGTTGGTTGGCAACTGTCTCTAAGAGGAAGAAGTATGTTTTCCTTTCTCTCCAGGACCTCTGTTCTGGGTTAATATCAGCCACTGGGATGATCAGTCATCTGAGATTCTGGATTCTCAAAAAGACTGTCTGCAGAGGCTGACCTTTGCTGTAGACTCATATCTTAAAGAACTTTATCTGGACTCAAATGTCCTCCCTTCAGGGACAGAACAGAAGTTCCCAAGTGTTGGTCACTAAGGTCCTGCAGAGAACAGTCATCTTTTCTACATCTTTCCTTTTGATGCTCTCAACATCCTGGCAAGACCTGAGGAGGTGAAGGCACCTCACCTGCAGCTGTCCCAGCCAGGCCACCGGAAGTGGGCGTGGATCCCACACCCCAGAGTGGGGCTCAGTCTGACAAGTACTTCCAAACCCATTCCTCACCAGTCCCTTTCCATCCCAGAAGAGGGCTCCCCTCTGCACCCATTTTGCACATGAGGAAATGGAGGCCAGGGAGGTCCTGCCTGGTCTTGTTCCAGGGCGGTGCAGCTGGAGGTCGCTCTCCGCTGCAGGGCACCTGCCAGCAGGGCCACCGTGATGTCTCCTGCCTCGAATGGCCTCTGGCAGGGCTTGGTGGAATTCCCCTGGCAGGAATTTGGGTGAAGCAGGCAGGGGTTAGCATCCCAGACTGAAGCCAGGCCACCTGGCTCACTTCTCGGCATCTCCAGTTCTAGCCCTTTGACCTTGGACAGGTCACTCAACCTCTCCCTGATTCAGCTCACTCACCTGCAAAACGGAGGTGATAATAGCACTCACCTCCTGCAAGTGCAAAGAGAATTAAAGGGGTGTAAAGCCATCGGAATAGTGCTTGGCCCCGAGAGAGGCTACAGGAGCACTCTTAAATAAATAAATGGCTTCAGCCCTGTCTAGTCCCGAGGTGTGGGCTCCTGCCATTCCCACCTAGAGAGCCCTGGGTGGAGGCCCCACTGGTGCTACAGAGCATCTGCCCCGTGCCCCCTACGCAGCAGGCACTTTCCAATCCTTCTGTCAGCCTCACCCCAGCAGGATAAGGGGAGGCTTCGTGAGCCTTTTTCCCAAGATGAGGGGACCACACCACCAGCAGGTGACAGGGTGGGACCAGGCCAGGTCTGTCTGCCTCTGAGACTGGGCCTAGGAGAGGACCGGCCCAAGCGACGCCCACCTAGCGCCTCCTTGGTCTGGAACTCGGGCTGGGGCCGGCCTGGAGGGCACACGCTCTGCCCACCAGGCTGCGTGATTTCTGGGGTGTCCCTGCCTGCAGAGTAGCCTCACTGGTGGTCGTAAGGGCCCCTCGAAGGGGCCCTGGACACCTGCGTGGGAACAAGGGCAGCCCGCCTCTTTCCAGCTGTTTCATGCTCCAGCCCAGCCAGTGCATTGCGTGCATCCATCTGAGAGGCGGGGAGATTGAGAACAGCTGCCTCCGCCTGGATTCTCCCAGCGCTCGCCTGGCAACACCCCGGCCAAGGTCCTCACACCATCCTGGTAAGAATCTCTTTGAGTGGTCATGTTCGTCACATTCAAGGTTTGTGGGCAGATGAGGGCCAGGGATGGACAGGGAGTGAGGGGCAGGAGGGACACAGACAGCTTGGCGTTTCTCCAGCCGGGAGCTGCAGGACACGGGCTTATCAGCTGCCTGGCCCTGGGCCGGCTTCCTCGTCCTTCTCCTCTGTGGGCCCTTCTACCCCCACCCACTTTGCCTTCTCCTGGGGAGCCTGCGCCCCTGCCCCAAAGCCGGGGACACAGGGAGATACTTCTGTGGCTCCCAAGCCACTGGGCAGGCTCATGTCTTTAAAGCAAGGAGGCCAGGGAGGGGTCAGGACCCCAGGATGGAGCACTGAGAGCTGCAAGGGATGGTGGACAGAGGAGAGGAGAGACTGGGGGCCGGAGAGGGAGCAGAGCTGGGCTGAACCGGGTGCTCTTCATGCCTTTCTGGCTTTCTCCCCATAGGGGTTCCGCCAAAAGCAGTGAGAGCAGCGGGGCCTGACCTCGGGGCTGGCAGGCAGCACAGGAGAGGAGCTCCTTTTCCTCACTGCCTCTTGTCGGTCCTGGGACCGACGTCACCCTTCTTGGCCATCTCCTTTCTGTCCCAAGAGGCTGTTCTGCATCCAGCTGCCTGGGGATGTGTGTAATCAGTGCTGACTCACAGTCCACTGTGGGCCAGAGCTATGGGGGAAGGTCAGCTGGTGGGCCCAGGGATGTGGGCCCGGGGGACCCCCACCTTCTCCTTGGCCTGTGGGGCTCCCTCCGCTGCTGGGTCTCTCCTCATCCTGCAGGATCCAGCTACCCTAGTCCTGACCTCCCAGCGCTGCAGGGGAGCCTTGGGCCATGGCTTCCCTGCTGCAGCCTCAGTCCACCCGACACCTCTAAATTCCTTCCTTGTCCAGGCCCAGCTCCTAGTGGGGCTGAACTCCAGCTCCCCACACTGGGCTGGGAGGTGACTCTGGCATCTGGTCTGGAGCCTGCCCTTGTGCTGCTCGGGGAAGACAGGAGACGGCCCCGGGCTGGGGCAGCTCCAGTACTGCTCTCCCCCAGGGCCCCCACTGCTGTGGGCCGTGCCCGCCTCACCCCTGCATGCTCCCTTGGGGTCCCGCATGGGGGGAGGACTCTGCATGTGGGCCCCCAGGGCCTGGAGGGAACACAGAACTCTTTGTCTCTGGCCTGATGTCTCTCCTCCCCCACCCCGTGGAGTTGCCCACTCGCCAAGTACAGGAGGCCTGGGGGGGTGGGTACCAGGGCTGGTGGGCAGTGCTGTGCCCTGTGGGAAATGAGCCTTGCCCCCTCTCGGCACAGTCTCGTGCCCAGCCCAGGGGGCCCTGGTGGGGAGGTCAGCAGCCTGCGCTCCTCTCTGGGCTCCCAACCTGCTCCTCCCCAGCTCCTTCCTCAAAGTCCCCAAGCACTGCCCAGACGTGAGTGCCAGGTCTCTGGAGGCTTCCTCTAACTCCCCGACCACAGACGGACCCTCCCGGCTCCTTTGGTTTCCGTGGGAACCCTGCCCAGCGAGCACCCAGGGGAGATCAGTGTGAGTTTGGTCCCTCCCTTTTGGGCAGGCAGGGCCCCTGAGTCCCAGCCACCCCTTCTCCCAAACCCAGCCACAGGGCTGGTGCTCAGTGGCCCTGAGGCCCACACTGCAGAAAGGCTGAGGTGGAGGTGGCATCAGCCTTTATTGTGGGGTCTGCACAGTAGGTGCCGGGCCCCTCCTGCTGAGGGAAGGCTGAGACTGCAGCCTGGACCGACCATCCAGTCTCCAATGAGCCCATCCTCCTCTGTGCACTGGATCCGGGTCCTGTGGGGTAACTCCTCCTCCATCACCCCCTCCCACGTGCTCGGGTGCGTTGCCAGTAAGGAAGAAGGAGCCAGGGCGGGTGGCGGGTCACCTGGTGCAGCAGGCCTGGGGCTCGGGCCCTGGCCCGGCAGCTACAGAGCCCCAGGTGGAGGCAAGGGCCGTGGCCCCGGCCATGCCACCCTCAGGCTCTGGGTCCAGGCTCTCGTAGATGGTGGGCAGCGAGGTGTGCTGGCTTAGCCGCCGGCGCAGGCCAACCAGCAGGGACTGGGGCAGGGAGGCCACATCCACGTTGTTGCCCAGGTCCACCCAGGCCAGCACCGGGAACTTGGTGGTGTCCTTGATGGCCTCAGTGAGCTCACGGGCGGCAGCCCGCGTCAGCCGGTTGCCGTTGAGCAGAAGCTGGGTGAGGTGGGGCAGCGTCCAGAGGCTGGGCAGCAGCCGGTGCAGCAACTCATCACTCAGCCCCGTGAAGCTCAGGTCCAGCACTGCCAGCCTGGTGCCCTGGCTGCCCAGGTAGCGCATGATATGCTGCACGTCCCGCATCGACAGTGGTATCCCCGATAGGTTCACGGTCTCCCCCGCCGGCAGAGTCTTCTGGAGGTTGCTCTTGAGGCTGCAGGAGGGTTGAGGGTGGGGAGGGACTGAGCAAGGGCCCCACCTGCCTCAGAGAGTGACCGCTCCGTCAGGGCAGCGCAGGGCAGCAAGGCCCAGGCCCTGCAGATGGCCACTTCCTAGATGAGTGGCCACGGGCAATACTCTGAATCGCTCTGAGCCTTAGTCCCCTTTGGTTAAGAGGCGACCTGGCTGTGAGGATTAGATGCACTTGCGTTAAGGCTCCATGAGCTATTATAAAAACCCTCTGTGTGCTTGCATCACCACACCTGTTACATCTGTTGTCTCTTATTTTTATGCCAACTCAGTGGGGTGGGAATGATTATCCTACTCTGCAGAGGAGCAAACGGGTGCTTGGAGGGGTGACATGACCCTTCCACAGTCACACACCACTAAGGGGGAGCCAGGTCTCCAAATCGGGGTGTTTTGACCCCCTGAGCCCATGCTTTTTTTTCACGTGCCTCCTCTAAGGTTGACCCTTTTGGAATAAGGATAGATGTGGGAACAGGCCCAGGGTAAGCAAGAGGGCCATGTTGGGGGATGTGGGTGGGATCTGCCCTAGGGGAGGGCTCCCTGTGTCCTAAGCTGGAAGGGAGGTTTAGAGACTGAGGAGGGTCCCCAACTGCCCCCAGAACCCCCTCTAGTTCTCTCCTGTCATTTGAACATGGGCCTGCCTGGGGGCTGACAGCAGTGGGAACACCTCCAGGGCTCTCACCTGCCAAGGCAGGGAACAACCCCATGGGCTCCAGGCTCAGCATGGGCCACCAGGCCTGAGGGAGGGGGCAGGAGGCTGGGGGGCAAGCAGGGGAGAGCACCAGGACCCAGGTGCCAGTGGCCTGTTCCCAGGCTGAGTCTGTGGCCACGAGGTTGCGATGGAGTGACTAAGGGGGACCCCGTTGCAGAGTGAGCTGCCGGGCTGGCCTTGGAGGCCTCAGCTTCAGGCAGCCTGGCAGAGTCCCCAAAGGGCTTCAGGAAGCAGGGCAGTGTGGCCTTGGGCAAGACACTCTGCCTCCCCTGGCCTCAGTTTCCTTCCCTGGGAAATGGGGATCATGACCCAGACTCCACCTCCCTCCCAGCCTGTCCTGGGGACTCTGCTGACTCCAGCTGAGGCCCCCGGGGGGCCAGGCCCTGTGATAGGCGGGGCATTGAGGGACAGGCAGATGGCAGGAGGCAGTCACACGGAGAGGAGCTGGCCTTGGGGAGCATCCGCCTGCATTGCCACCGGCCAGTGACGGGCTGTGATGCAGCCAAGGGTGAGGGCCTGCAGGGTGGGATTTCAGGCCCCAGCTCTTGTTGACAGAGGCCTGGGAAGGGACCCCCCCAGGGGCCAGGCGGCTGGGTGGTGTCTGGGCTCCCTTACCAGCTCTGGGTCTTCCTTCGGGGCAGGCTGGACCCCTGCTGCCGCTTGGAGTGAGGGGTGAGGTGGTAGATGAGCTGCCGGCAGGTCTTGTCGGAGGACTTCCAGAGCTCATAGTCCTGCGGGGGCAGCGCTGTCAGGGGAGGCGGAGCCCTGTGAGCCCCCGGGCCTTAGGGACCCAAGTGTGTGCATGCGCACAGCCATTCATCACGGATCACTGAGCCGCCCACTGGCTTTCCCCCTCCACCCCCGCCCCCCTGCCCCGTGGCCTGGCGCAGAGCCAGGGGAGGCTGCCCACTGGGAGCTGGACAGGCTGGTCCGAGGCCCGTGGTGCCCGGCGGGAGGAAGCCCAGACAATGGGCCCTGTTCCCTGTCCTCAGGCCCTGGGCCAGAGTCTCGGGCTATCAGCCGCTGGCTCCCTGTCTACCCTCGGTGCCCCCCTGGGACTCACCACAGGGGGAGGCAGGACCAGGCCTCTCCAGGGAGCCCTGCTCCACTGGCGCCAGCGCCAGGGTACAGGACAAGCCAGGCCAGCACGCTCTTCTCCCTCTCCCTCTCCAAGCAAGACCGCACCCGTGGGGCCTGGGTCTGGGCTGCCAGCAGGGAGGGTTTCCATTTTCCAGCACCACCATCTGGCTCTCTCTGGCTCCCAAGTGGGCCCTTGCAGAGGCCCAGCTCGGGCAGGATGCGGGGTGGACTGCTTTCCACAAGCTGGCACCAAGCACGCTCCACCACCCAGCACATTCTTTTATCCAGTCCCTCTGCTAACAGCGGGCACACATAGTGGCAGCAAGCCCCAGGGGTCACCCCGATGGCTCTAGGCTGGCCTCACAGACCCCTCAGTGACAAGTGCACCTGGATGTGGCAGTTCAGAGCTGGCAGGGCCCAGCGTGGGCATTCCTGGGGGTTCGCTGTGACAAAGGGCCGGGGGCTGGGGGCTGGCCACAGGCTGTGTCAGGAGTGCGGCACCTTCCATGCTTATGGCAGGACGTCCGCAGGTGCCGACATAGCAGGTGGGGACAGGTGTTCTGGGCGGACGCGGTGGCAGGAAGGGAGTCGAGGCTGCAGGTGGCAGGTGCCAGCCCAACATGAGGAGGGATTTGCTTGTGGCTTGAGTTGCTGTGGGACGCAGTGGGAACATGTGGACAGGGGTTCCAGCCAAGGGAGCTCTCTTCTGGCTCTGGGACTCAGGGGCTGGGAGCCTGGTTCCATCAATGGATTTGTCAGAATGTCCTGTATCCCGAAGGGTCCCCATACGACTACCTGCCTGGGTCCCAGGGCCTGGCGCACAGTGCTGAAATTCAGGAAACAGGTCTAGGGAATTTCCTGGCGGTCCAGTGGTTAGGGGTCCGTGCTTCCACTGCAGGGGGCACAGGTTTAATTCTTGGTTGGGGAACTAAAATACTGGATGCCATGCTGCAGGGCCAAAAAAAGAAAAAAGGAAATGGGTCTACCCAACAGATGACTTTCCAGGGCTGGGAAAGCAGAGTTCCCATGTGCTCCAGCTGCTGGCCAGCCTCATACACTGAAACTGGCATCAGGTCCCAGAGAGGGACAGTGACCCACCTAAGGCCACGCAGCAGACCAGGTGAGGGCCCAGATCCTAGCTCCCAGCTCTGGGCTCTTCTGGCCTGTCAACCACACTACCCAGCCTGGGGCCCGTGCCTCACCGCCTTGGGGCACTGCAGGTCCCGGGCCAGGTTCACAAGCAGGTCGTGGGAGATGGGGTCCACCAGATTGAGGAAGGCCACACTCCTATAGAGGACGTCTGATGGGAGGGTCCCCTCGAGGCCTAGGTCCTGCAGGTAGTGAGAGTGGAGTGAGCCAGGGGTCGAGGCCTCCCTCCCGTAGCCTGCATCCCAGCCAGCCAGAGGCTCTCCCATCCGTTCCCCTCTCTCCATTTCCCCTCTGAGGCTTGCTGGAGCCCTCCCCACAGTAGCGATGAGCAAACTGTCCGGGGCAGGTGGACCCTTTGGATGAGCAGAGGGTCGGTGCATCAGGGGCCTCAGGGAGGCGGTAAGTGGGTCCAGGAACCCTTAGACTGGTTCCCTGGAGGTGAAACGTTCTGCTGAGACCCCCTGGCTTCTCTGGGATTGGGCTTTTCTGGGGGATTCTCTGGGGATTCCTTGATGATCCCCAAATGCCCCTGCCCTCATTCCCTTTGGGGCCCCTGCCTCTATCCACCTATCCCTGAGCTCTCCTGAGCTATGGCCGCCACCTCTTTGCTGACGGGTCCAGACCCTTCCTGTCAGGGTGGAACTCTCTCTCTCTCAGCTCATACGACCCAAAGGCAACTCAGACTGGGTGTGTCTCGCCTCCTGTGCCCCAGCTCAGTAAAGGGTGCCACCATCCCATCTTCCCAGGCACTTGGGCCAGAGCCCAGGAATCACCCCGCACTCTTCCCTCATCCCTCCTCTGCCCAGCTCTCCCCACCCCAAGCCCACTGCTCAAGGAGCTTCAGGCCTCATCCCCTCACAGCCTCCTCCCGGGGCTCCCAGCCTCCTGATACCCTTCCAGTCCATCCTAATGCTGCCAGAGCCAGCTCTATGAAACACACACTTGACCCCTAACCCCTTCAGTGGAAACCAAATGCTCTCAAGGTTGTGTGATGGCAGAGACTCGCACACAGCCTGCAGTCTCAGAACTCCCTGTGGCCTGGCCTTCACACCCTCTCTCGCCCACCAGCCTTCCTGTCCAGCCTCCAAGCCTCCCACCCCTCACACAGATCCCACCATCAGGTCCCTGGCCTGCCCTGGCCTTCCTGCCTTCACCCCTTGGCCTCTTCCTCCTGTTATTCCCATAGGCCTGGTGTGGTGCCTTTTAGGGGGTCCATTTAGAGGATATGCCGACAAGCTGATGAGACAGGCACAGCCAGGAGGGGCCTCGAGACCCCATGTGGGCCCTCCCCAAGCCAGAGAGTAACATGTTCTGTGTATAAGCCCAGGGCACAGGAGGCCAGGCCAGGCCAGGATGACCAATGTCCATAACTGCAGAGTCCCTGAAGGTTATGGGGCAGGACAGGGGGGCCTCAAATTCCAACGTTTGGGACACCAGTGGGCAACCTAACTCGTTCCCCAGCTAAAATTTCCAGCTGGTGCCTTGGGCTGCAGATGCCATGCTGGACAGAGATCGTGCCTCTGAATAGTCTCTCGCTGATTTGTGCTGCTCTGTTGTTTGCATTTTAAACACAGCTCAAGTTGGAGATGACAGCTAGGGAGGATCCAGTAGAAGGGAAGGATGGCTGGTGAGCCTGGGCTGACCCAGTCAGGGTCCCAGACCGAAGCCTGCCTTCTGCTGATGTGGACAGCTCCTCTTAAAGGGCCAGCCCCACCTTTCCAGCCTGCTGAGCCCAGAGAAAGGAAACCCAGTGCAGCAGGAGGAGCAGAGCTGGAAGACTGGAGGGTGAGCTCTGGCCTTGGCTGGCCCCCAATTTGCTCTGTAGCCCTAGGCTCACTGCTTTTCTCCAAGCCTCAGTTTCCCAATCATCCACCTGCAGGTCAAAGACCACCGGCACAGCTGATTTCAGCTTACAGGATGGGGCAGATGGTGGTGGCAGCTGCTGCAGGGTATAGGGATGTGGGCAGAGAGGAGTGGCTTGCTCAGTGGTGATGCTGGGATCAGAACCCATGTCTCTTAAGGCAACCCAGGGCTAGGGATATGGGACTCAGGTACCTGGTGTATGTGGAACCAGAGCCCCCACCCGTCGTGATGTGATGTTGTGATGTACAGATGCCAGGTGTGTGTACTCAATGGGCGAGAGCTGCCTGTTAGGAGGATGGGCATTGTGTGCTGTGGCTTTGTCTGAGCTGACGTGGAGAGTTTGCACCCACTGACCAGCCGGGCTGTCGCTTCCCCAGGTCCTTGCTTCGGGGTCCAGTGCAGCGCCTCCCTTCACCCTGGAGGGGGGAACCATCCTCTTCCCTTGCCCCTCAATACAAGATGATTCACCCCCACCTGCCCTCTTCCCAGCCGCCCTCCTTTCTTGTAAGGGCCTGAATGTGGACTCTTAGCTCCAGGCTTGGGAGCACCCTCAACACCCACAACTGACCTCAAACCCCAGAGACGCGTACAGTCATGGGACCCCTTCCACACTCACAGTCCCCCCGACCCCACAACTCTAGCTGACTGCCTTCCCTCCCTCGCCCTCCGGCCCAGACAAGACCCCCACCCCTGAGGCCAGTCGTCCCCTCCCCTCGGAACCCGCCCGGCCCGCGCGCCCGAGGCCAGCTCCGCATCTCCTCCCGACCTCTCCCAACACAAATGTCCACCAACAGGTGAGTGAATTGTGGTACATCCATCCAGTAGAATGCTACTTGGCAATTAAAAGGGACTATTGATACATGCATCACTGTGGGAGTCTCAATTATGCTAAGTGAGAGAGGTCATATAAAAAAGAGTACACCCTGTATGATTCCATATATCTAAAAATAGAAAATGCACACTAATCTATAGAGACAGAAAGCAGGTCAATTGTTGCTTGGGGAAGGAGGGGAAAGGGATGGTGGGAGGGAGACATTGCCAAGGAGCACAAGGAGACTTTTGGGTGTGACAGATACATTTACTTCATGGATTTATACACAAGTCAGAATGCACCATGTAGCACAATTTCAACTTGTAACACTTGGGATGTCCACTTAATTGGGTTGGGTTTTTTTTTAATGTTTTTTATTTATTTATTTATTTTTTTGCTGTACTGTATGGCATGTGGAACTTCCCCAACCAGGGATCAAACCCAAGTTGCTGCAGTGGAAGCACCGAGTCTTAACCACTGGACCACCAGGGAAGTGTACTTAATTGTATTTTAGTTGTATGACAATGAAGAATTGTTTTTTAAATAAGGTATTGTTATCATTATTGTTGTTGTTATTATTATTTGGCAGCGCCACGCAGCTTGCAGGATCTCAGTTCCTGGACCAGGGATTGAACCTGGGCCCCGGCAGTGCAAGTGCTGAATCCTAACCATAGACCACCAGGGAACTCCCGGTATTATTTTTAAAAAATAAAATTAAAGTATACAGCTGGGAAAGGAAATACTGCTTTCCATTGTTGGTTGGCAACTGTCTCTAAGAGGAAGAAGTATGTTTTCCTTTCTCTCCAGGACCTCTGTTCTGGGTTAATATCAGCCACTGGGATGATCAGTCATCTGAGATTCTGGATTCTCAAAAAGACTGTCTGCAGAGGCTGACCTTTGCTGTAGACTCATATCTTAAAGAACTTTATCTGGACTCAAATGTCCTCCCTTCAGGGACAGAACAGAAGTTCCCAAGTGTTGGTCACTAAGGTCCTGCAGAGAACAGTCATCTTTTCTACATCTTTCCTTTTGATGCTCTCAACATCCTGGCAAGACCTGAGGAGGTGAAGGCACCTCACCTGCAGCTGTCCCAGCCAGGCCACCGGAAGTGGGCGTGGATCCCACACCCCAGAGTGGGGCTCAGTCTGACAAGTACTTCCAAACCCATTCCTCACCAGTCCCTTTCCATCCCAGAAGAGGGCTCCCCTCTGCACCCATTTTGCACATGAGGAAATGGAGGCCAGGGAGGTCCTGCCTGGTCTTGTTCCAGGGCGGTGCAGCTGGAGGTCGCTCTCCGCTGCAGGGCACCTGCCAGCAGGGCCACCGTGATGTCTCCTGCCTCGAATGGCCTCTGGCAGGGCTTGGTGGAATTCCCCTGGCAGGAATTTGGGTGAAGCAGGCAGGGGTTAGCATCCCAGACTGAAGCCAGGCCACCTGGCTCACTTCTCGGCATCTCCAGTTCTAGCCCTTTGACCTTGGACAGGTCACTCAACCTCTCCCTGATTCAGCTCACTCACCTGCAAAACGGAGGTGATAATAGCACTCACCTCCTGCAAGTGCAAAGAGAATTAAAGGGGTGTAAAGCCATCGGAATAGTGCTTGGCCCCGAGAGAGGCTACAGGAGCACTCTTAAATAAATAAATGGCTTCAGCCCTGTCTAGTCCCGAGGTGTGGGCTCCTGCCATTCCCACCTAGAGAGCCCTGGGTGGAGGCCCCACTGGTGCTACAGAGCATCTGCCCCGTGCCCCCTACGCAGCAGGCACTTTCCAATCCTTCTGTCAGCCTCACCCCAGCAGGATAAGGGGAGGCTTCGTGAGCCTTTTTCCCAAGATGAGGGGACCACACCACCAGCAGGTGACAGGGTGGGACCAGGCCAGGTCTGTCTGCCTCTGAGACTGGGCCTAGGAGAGGACCGGCCCAAGCGACGCCCACCTAGCGCCTCCTTGGTCTGGAACTCGGGCTGGGGCCGGCCTGGAGGGCACACGCTCTGCCCACCAGGCTGCGTGATTTCTGGGGTGTCCCTGCCTGCAGAGTAGCCTCACTGGTGGTCGTAAGGGCCCCTCGAAGGGGCCCTGGACACCTGCGTGGGAACAAGGGCAGCCCGCCTCTTTCCAGCTGTTTCATGCTCCAGCCCAGCCAGTGCATTGCGTGCATCCATCTGAGAGGCGGGGAGATTGAGAACAGCTGCCTCCGCCTGGATTCTCCCAGCGCTCGCCTGGCAACACCCCGGCCAAGGTCCTCACACCATCCTGGTAAGAATCTCTTTGAGTGGTCATGTTCGTCACATTCAAGGTTTGTGGGCAGATGAGGGCCAGGGATGGACAGGGAGTGAGGGGCAGGAGGGACACAGACAGCTTGGCGTTTCTCCAGCCGGGAGCTGCAGGACACGGGCTTATCAGCTGCCTGGCCCTGGGCCGGCTTCCTCGTCCTTCTCCTCTGTGGGCCCTTCTACCCCCACCCACTTTGCCTTCTCCTGGGGAGCCTGCGCCCCTGCCCCAAAGCCGGGGACACAGGGAGATACTTCTGTGGCTCCCAAGCCACTGGGCAGGCTCATGTCTTTAAAGCAAGGAGGCCAGGGAGGGGTCAGGACCCCAGGATGGAGCACTGAGAGCTGCAAGGGATGGTGGACAGAGGAGAGGAGAGACTGGGGGCCGGAGAGGGAGCAGAGCTGGGCTGAACCGGGTGCTCTTCATGCCTTTCTGGCTTTCTCCCCATAGGGGTTCCGCCAAAAGCAGTGAGAGCAGCGGGGCCTGACCTCGGGGCTGGCAGGCAGCACAGGAGAGGAGCTCCTTTTCCTCACTGCCTCTTGTCGGTCCTGGGACCGACGTCACCCTTCTTGGCCATCTCCTTTCTGTCCCAAGAGGCTGTTCTGCATCCAGCTGCCTGGGGATGTGTGTAATCAGTGCTGACTCACAGTCCACTGTGGGCCAGAGCTATGGGGGAAGGTCAGCTGGTGGGCCCAGGGATGTGGGCCCGGGGGACCCCCACCTTCTCCTTGGCCTGTGGGGCTCCCTCCGCTGCTGGGTCTCTCCTCATCCTGCAGGATCCAGCTACCCTAGTCCTGACCTCCCAGCGCTGCAGGGGAGCCTTGGGCCATGGCTTCCCTGCTGCAGCCTCAGTCCACCCGACACCTCTAAATTCCTTCCTTGTCCAGGCCCAGCTCCTAGTGGGGCTGAACTCCAGCTCCCCACACTGGGCTGGGAGGTGACTCTGGCATCTGGTCTGGAGCCTGCCCTTGTGCTGCTCGGGGAAGACAGGAGACGGCCCCGGGCTGGGGCAGCTCCAGTACTGCTCTCCCCCAGGGCCCCCACTGCTGTGGGCCGTGCCCGCCTCACCCCTGCATGCTCCCTTGGGGTCCCGCATGGGGGGAGGACTCTGCATGTGGGCCCCCAGGGCCTGGAGGGAACACAGAACTCTTTGTCTCTGGCCTGATGTCTCTCCTCCCCCACCCCGTGGAGTTGCCCACTCGCCAAGTACAGGAGGCCTGGGGGGGTGGGTACCAGGGCTGGTGGGCAGTGCTGTGCCCTGTGGGAAATGAGCCTTGCCCCCTCTCGGCACAGTCTCGTGCCCAGCCCAGGGGGCCCTGGTGGGGAGGTCAGCAGCCTGCGCTCCTCTCTGGGCTCCCAACCTGCTCCTCCCCAGCTCCTTCCTCAAAGTCCCCAAGCACTGCCCAGACGTGAGTGCCAGGTCTCTGGAGGCTTCCTCTAACTCCCCGACCACAGACGGACCCTCCCGGCTCCTTTGGTTTCCGTGGGAACCCTGCCCAGCGAGCACCCAGGGGAGATCAGTGTGAGTTTGGTCCCTCCCTTTTGGGCAGGCAGGGCCCCTGAGTCCCAGCCACCCCTTCTCCCAAACCCAGCCACAGGGCTGGTGCTCAGTGGCCCTGAGGCCCACACTGCAGAAAGGCTGAGGTGGAGGTGGCATCAGCCTTTATTGTGGGGTCTGCACAGTAGGTGCTGGGCCCCTCCTGCTGAGGGAAGGCTGAGACTCCAGCCTGGACCGACCATCCAGTCTCCAATGAGCCCATCCTCCTCCGTGCACTGGATCCGGGTCCTGTGGGGTAACTCCGCCTCCATCACCCCTTCCCACGTGCTCGGGTGCGTTGCGAGTCAGGAAGCAGGAGCCAGGGCAGGTGGCGGGTCACCGGGTGCAGCAGGCCTGGGGCTTGGGCCCTGGCCCGTTAGCTGCTGAGGCAAGGGCCGTGGCCCCGGCCATGCCACCCTCAGGCTCTGGGTCCAGGCTCTCGTAGATGGTGGGCAGCGAGGTGCGCTGGCTTAGCCGCCGGCGCAGGCCAACCAGCAGGGGCTGGGGCAGGGAGGCCACATCCACGTTGTTGCCCAGGTCCACCCAGGCCAGCACCGGGAACTTGGTGTTGTCCTTGATCACCTCAGTGAGCTCACGGGCGGCAGCCCGCGTCAGCCGGTTGCCGTTGAGCAGAAGCTGGGTGAGGCGGGGCAGCGTCCAGAGGCTGGGCAGCAGCCGGTGCAGCAGCTCATCACTCAGCCCCGTGAAGCTCAGGTCCAACACTGCCAGCCTGGCGCCCTGGCTGCCCAGGTAACGCATGATATGCTGCACGTCCCGCACCGACAGTGGTATCCCCGATAGGTTCACGGTCTCCCGCGCCGGCAGAGTCTTCTGGAGGTTGCTCTTGAGGCAGCTCTGGGTCTTCCTTCGGGGCAGGCTGGACCCCTGCTGCCGCTTGGAGTGAGGGGTGAGGTGGTAGATGAGCTGCCGGCAGGTCTTGTCCGAGGACTTCCAGAGCGCATAGTCCTGCGGGGACAGCGCGACTTGGGGCACTGCAGGTCCCGGGCCAGGTTCACAAGCAGGTCGTGGGAGATGGGGTCCACCAGATTGAGGAAGGCCACATTCCTGTAGAGGATGTCTGTGAGAAGGGTCCCCTCGCAGGAGGCGCAGCAGCTGCCGGGCGCGCTCCGGCCGCCGCTCGCGGAGCGTCGACTGGATCTCGCGGAGCCAGCGCACCCGGTGCTCATAGGGCGCCGGCCCGCACCCCGCCGCCGCCCCAGCCTCCGAGCCCGCTTCGGGCCCGGGCCGCCGGCCCAGCCGCGCCCCCATGGGCGCTGCGCGGCGGGCGCCGAGCCGGCGGGAGGCAGGGCCGCTTGCTCCCCGCCCCTGGCCCCGCCCGGGATGCTCCGGGCGGGGAGCGCGGAATCCAAGGCTGCGCGCCCCGGCAGGGCCGAAGCGGAGGAAGGGAGGAGGGTTCCTGCTGGGGGCCCCGGAGCTCCCACACTCGGTTTGGGGGTGTCGCTGGAGGAGGCCCTCGCCCGCGCTAGACCTGGCTCGAGCCCTGTCGCC